TGATGCTACTTATCCACTCTCAGAAAATTATGGAATGAAACAAATGTTAGCAATGCCTACCTGGCAGCCATAGGAGAACACTAGCGATCACGTTGGAATCAACGCAGAATAAGTTTGATATGCCTTAGGCCATGGGTTGGTAAAAAGAATAGAATACATGAGCTGTGATAAATTCTTGACAACAAAATACTAAATCATCCTGGGGAGGGGTGGGGATCTATTGTTTTAAGAAGAGCCATATAAGGGCCGCGCCTATGGCTCAAAGAAGTAGGGTGCCGGCCCCATATACCAGAGGTGGCAGGTTCAAACCTGGCCCCGGCCAAATCCAAAAAAAAAAAAAAAGAAGAGCCATATATAAGTGAAAGAAATAAACTATATTTATACCTGACTTTACCAATATTCTTCACCAAAGAATTACATGGTATCTTTAAGAAGTAAAATTGTGTGGAATATAGAACCATTAAAATGGTTTTTAGAATAAGTATTTTAAATAAAGAAATATACATGGGTTTCTACAAAGAGTTACAGAAAAAGAGGTATATAAAATGTAAAATTGTACATTTAAAAAATTAGGACACCATAATCTGTGTACTTAATTTGAATGCCATATATTTGAAGACATTACTAATAAGATCAACTAAAATCTTTTGTGATAAGTTGAAGATTGGGGTTGGAGTAAGTACAAGGATATTCATTTATTTTTCTAAAAGTGAAAAAGAGTTTAGATAGAAATAAAATTATGCTGACTTAAAGCCAGCAGATTATACAGAACAGCTCCATTAGCTGGAAACAACTCTTGAAATTGTCACAAATCACTTGGAAATGACAGTGGTAATAAAAGAGAGATCAATCAAGTATAGCTCTGACTAAAATGCGTGAACTTTCAGAGGTGCTGAAGCTGTGAAAGAAGAATACAAAAAAATTTTTCAGTTAAGCCGTCAAATGGTCCACCTACCCTTTCTTTAGTTTTGGAATTTTTTTAATTCAACCCTTTCTCCTGTTTTTGCATTAAAAATATTAAGAAGTTCTGCTATGTTGGAGGTTGGCTTGGGGCCTTGTAATATGTTAAGTCAACAAAGTGTGTGTATTACCCATCAATATGTGTACATTTATATGCAGTATGTATGCATGTGTGGACATGTACAACACATGCACATACGTATGCACTCAAAAGAGTTTAAGTGCAATAAGTGTTGTACTCTATGACACCCAAAGACTTCACCATCTTGGCCAGCTATTGCTCTAACAAGTCGTGTAATCCACATTAACTAGACTGTGCCAATTTTTTTTTTTTTTTGAGATGGATCCTCAAGCTATCCCCTTGGGTAGAGTGCTGTGGCATCACAGCTCACAGCATCCTCCAACTCCTGGGCTCAAGCTAGTCTCCTGCCTCTGCCTCCCAAGTAGCTGGGACCACAGGTGCCCACCACAACCCCTGGCTATTTTTTGGTTGCAGCCGTCATTGTTGTTTGGCGGGCCCGGGCTGGATTCGAACCCGCCACCTTAGGTGTACGTGGTGTGAAGTGTTGGCACTGAGCCAACTGTGCCAATATTAAGAAGCAATAGATGATACTTAAGTTTCTTTGATTTTTAGTTTGACGTTATTTCCCAGATTAAAAACATGACATCTCTGTGGCAACTCAGCCAAAGACTCAGAAGATTTTACCGGTTCTGAGTTCCCAGGCCTTCACTTTTTCAAGGAAAATCAATAGAAAAAGAAGGGAACAGGGCCTCTCTGTCTCAGCTGTTCTCATAGCATGGTCCTTGGAGCTCTGGTAACCTAAACCTGGCTAAAGGGCCCACCAACATCAGAACTGGTTTATAATGCTAATATGTTTTCTGCCTTTTCCACTGATGGTGTAACAGTACCCAGTGGTGGGTAAGGTACCTTCGTATTACTCAGGACAGAGGTGCCAGGTTGCACTCTTTCCTGTATACACTTGGAATTCAAAAAAAAGCAAGTTTCATATAATATCCTTATTGAAGCAGTAAAAAAATTTTTTTAGTAACTCAACTCTTGACTGTGTATTTTATTAATATACTACATGATGAAATGAGAAGAATACACAGAGCACTTCTGCTGTGCTTTCTGAAGACTACCAAGAGAAATCCCTTGTGTGATTGTCTGAGTGGAAAGTTGAATTAGCTACTTTATCATATCACATTACTTTTACTTAAATAAAACAGCAAATTATTCAGACTTAGATCTGTGACATATATGTTCTCAAAATGAATGAAGTGAGCCTGACACTTTAAGGGAAACCACTAATAATATTTGTTGACGGTGATAAAATTCAAGCTTTCATGTGATAATTAGAATTATAGAAAACTTATATTCTCCACCATGACCTTGACAGCTTCCCAATGTATAAACATTTTCCTGATTAGAGCAGTAGTGATATTAATGAATGTCATTTTTTAATACTTTATAATGAAATGTGTCAACAGTTGGAAGATCTTCCTAACTTAGTGATCTTATATTTTCTAAATTTACCAACGCATAATGTTACAAAGTAATACATGGGTAAAAAGATCCATTCAAAGTGCAAAGTAGAATAATGAGTTTTAATGTTATATAATGGAGTTTAAAAGTTTTGTAATATAGTTTCCAGATTTCAATTGCAATTAACCTCATCCAAGTTTGGTATAGTACACCTATCAAAAATGAATATCCTCAATGATATAAAAAGGCTACTAAGATTCTCCTCCCTTTTCCAATCTTATGCCTTTGTGAGGCCATGTTTGATTCATAAATTTCAACCAAATCAACATATAACACAATGGAGTGATGTAGAAGCAGATATGAGAATCCAGTTATTTTCTGTATTGTGATAGACATTAAAGAGATTTGCAAAAATGTAAAACAGTACCATCATTCTCACTAATTTTTTTGTTTTGGAAGACATAGTCATAACATAATTTTAATTCTGAATTAAAATTATCATGAATTATTGTGTACTTTTAAAATTTCTTGGTTTTAATTTCTAATATGGTAAATATTTATATAACTTACAAACACTTTGAGACCAAAACATCTGAGACTAACTGCTCTACATTGATCCATTTTGGTCCTGAAAGTGTCACTCACTTAAATAATTTAGCAAGTTCAATTTCTTCCACATTGTAAAGAAACTTATCATGGAAAAGACAACAGCCAAATCTATCAAAGAGCAGCAGACTAGAGTACGAACAGTTTGCTAATTATCACTATCACCACCACTAATTAGGGTCATGCCACATCTAAGTTGGACAGGCTTTGCTCCCTGAATAAGCATCTAAATTTATCCATTCATTTAGACAACAGTTGTTGAGAACCTCTTATTTTTTGGCTACTATGATAGGTAATGGGAATGCAACGTAGAATAAGACTATACCTTCTGAAGTGGAGCTTGGAATTCAAGATGCGTTAGTGTCATTTGTGACTGCTGCTCAAACAACCATGCCTAGCAAACGTTTGGGGCTATGAGCTGTAATGATCCATTGAGAAGAAAAAGCCATGAATTGTTGGGAAAACCAAAGTTTGACTAGTCTGAAATTTAAGTGTCACCAGAGACATGCAAAGTAATTTACTGAGCTGGTGTAGTATGCCTGTAACATATGTTTCGAGGACACACGTGCATACCACATAGAAGCTTGCAGCCTATGTGTGGTAACAGAATGGAGTTAAGAAAGGTGTATTTCAGTAAAATGAAGAAATGGTATCAATGTCACACAGGTGTCAGGTGGGTAGGTTATCCAGGAGAGCATCACTAGGCAGTTGAAATTTTCAACCTTGTGTAGAAGAGAAATAATTGTTTAAGAAAGAAAACCAGGAAGAAAGAATGGATAACGTTATAATGGTTTTGAAAGCGATACTCACCAGTGAATTCAAAGAAGAGGCTTTGCTTTTATCTGGGGTGTTTATTGTGTAGTTCTTAATTCAGTGTTAGAGAAGGAAGGTCCATGAAACAAACAGACTTGGGACACTAAGTAACCCAAGTCTGCTCTTTAATCTGGACCCTATGACAAGGACCTATGTAGAGAGATAGATTATTGCGTCTAAAGAAGGTAAAAGGGAGAGAAACTTTCTCTTTGGCCCTCATCAGCCACGCTTTTTCCTTGCCATAAGATGAGGAAAGAATATTTCTTCTCACTGTAACAGTGAGTGGTTAACCTCAAGTCCTGGTCTGGGTAAAGACAGCAGGCGTGAAAAAGAATCCAGACCAAGGGGAGGATGTATCTCTTTTCCCCTTTTCCCAGAGACTTGGCTGTGCCCTATTCAATATTGAAAAAGAGAGGGAGGAGTTTCCAGGGCAAACTTACTTCTCAGAGAAAATCAGGGTAAGTTTGAGGTTTGGAATCAAAACTTGAGAAGTACAGGTTATAAAGAAAAGAAATCAAGACATAAGCATGGAGACCAGAAAAAAGGCAAGAGAAAGTGGGTCCTCCCCAACTCACCACCACTGTCGATGAGATCTTTCCTCTTAAAAGACAAGGACCACATGGCAACGTCATTTTCCTTCCCATGGAGCAAGTAAAATGCTTTATGAATGGGGCTCCATAAAGAATTAACACACATGAATGCTAAGGTGACACTTAAAAAATAGTTTAAAGCAATAACCCAAGATGGTAAGATAGACAGCAAAGATATTTCAAAAAATGGGCTCTATTCTTTCTTGCGTCTTTGTGTTCTGTTTAAGGGAGGAGAGTCCAGGAAATAACTGGGACTTGGCAACTGGTCTGATCGTGGTCTGTTTGTCCCACTTTAGCACAAAAGTCATTGATAAACTGCACAGTAATTCGGTAAAGGTGCCTGCGTTTTCTGTGCTGGTGGTCCGCTCCTTTCTTCAACTGGTAGTTTTATTCAGTGGCTCACTGAAACACTGATGCATCTTGGCAGCTCCTGCACTAATTCAGACCTCTGCTTCTGATGGGTGGAAGCCTCATTTCAAATGCTAATAACGGTGCACTATGTGGTACTTGACGATATAGTAATTCACCAGTGATCTCTCCTTTCTCAGAACCATGATTCCGGTGACAGAATTCCGGCAGTTCTCTGAGCAGCAGCCTGCCTTCCGGGTGCTGAAGCCGTGGTGGGATGTGTTTACTGATTACCTCTCGGTGGCCATGCTCATGATCGGCGTGTTTGGATGTACTTTGCAGGTAGGTGCCTAGACCCCTGGCAAAATGCGGGCTGGAGCAAGATGGCAAGTCAATGAAACCTCTTAAGAGAGCTGGCTGTGCGATTTTTAACTGTATAAATATTAGTTTCGCTTCTCTGTATATGGTGTTTGTCATCATGGGGGGGGGGGCCTAAAACACTCACTGAACTGTCTTAATAAAGTAGAAATGGTACTTAGACGATTTCATTGAGCCCAATGAAGAAGTTAACTGTAGTCAAGAAATGTTCAATGTTAATAACATCAAAGGGGGCCCCCATCCTTCAAAGTGAAGTATAGTGTGTACACAGCAGTGCTACATAATTGCCAGAATGGAACTTTCTGCTTCTCTTTTTGCTGCTCTTCAATCTTGATAAGATTTTCTAGAGGAACTGCCATTTTGATGAGATATCAGTTTTACCCAATGTTTAGTTCTGAATTAAACAGTAACTCAACTGAAGTTTATGCTGTTCAAATGCTATGTATTCATATATTGACTCCACCTATATTTTGAGCAGCTGCTCTGAGCCAGGCATAGATGCCTATAAGTAGTCCATTTCTAGAGAACTCAGTCAACAAGCAATCAGAAGTTGTATGTTGGGTGGTGCCTGTGGCTCAAAAGGGTAGGGCGCTGGCCCCATATGCTGGAGGTGGTGGGTTCAAACCCAGCCCTGGCCAAAAACTGCAAAAAAAAAAAAGAAGTTGTATGTTGCAACCTGGCATGAGAGAAGGACCGCTCACAACCTGGGGCCATGAGGGAGAGTTGACCTGAGTGGAAGGGTAGGAAATGAAGAAGAGGGACAAACACGAGGACAAAACACACAGGAGACGAGAGCGAGGCTGGCGTCGGGAGGGCTGACACAGCTGATGGCTGCAGCCAGCCCCTGAACCATGGGAACGGCTTTATTTATACAGTATCTTAACAAGTTTGCATAAATCTTAACACATGGGTAGAGCTCAACCATAAAGTGGTGGATCTGTGCTTGTCCTTAACAAGGAAAGTATGCATGGGCTGCGTGACTCCTGGAAGGTGGAACGGATGTGGTTAGAGGAGGAGAAGTGGTTGGGGGTCACTCCCTGAGCATTTCCCAGGCTGTGGGGGCCCTGCCAGCCACAGCCCGCTCCCACAGTTGTGTTGTGCTACGGCAGAGACATCCCCAGGACACTGAGGGAGGGCTGAGGGGAGACGCTTAGCTTGGGAACAACAGAAAAGGTGATGGTTCAGTTAAAACTTGGAGAGCCAGCTACAGATAGAGGAAGCTGGAGGTGGGAGAAGGTGCCAGAAGCAGAAAAACAACACTAAGTCATGACTGTGAGAAAGAATGTGACTTCTTTGGGCAACTATTGATGGGACTGGCACAGATTGGGCGTCAGGGTGAGTTGGAGCCATGCTTGTGAATGGATCACCCAGGAATGACTTAAAGAGTGAATGGGGGAGGGAGGAGAGCTTCTGAGGAAGGCTGAGAAGGGGCAGCCATAGGGCAGGTGGAAACCAGGAGAGGGGACGGTGTCAGAACTCAAAGGAAGCTGCGGTCAGTGATGGCCAGCAGCACCCAGGTAGCTCTTGGACTAAGCAGAAAAGGGCAGCAACTAGGCCATCAGAAATCTTAGTTGCAGTGGTTGGAACAATGAATGGAAGTTAAAGTAGAGGCTCCAAGGCTCTGGGGTAGACGTGGCTTCAGCTCGATCTGCTGGAAGAGGAGGTAGGCTGAGAGAGAAATAACTGAAGTGGTGCAGAGTGAAAGTAAAGTCCGTGTAAGGCTGATGTTACTAATAATTAACACCTAGTGCAGCCTATGTGTCAGGCACTCTTCTGAATATACAGATGTTAATTCTATTCATCTTTCATCTTTATGGCAACTCCAGGTCGTGTGTGCTGTTCTAACCCCACTTACAAATGAGACAACCGAGGCACAGGGAGGTTAAGGAAACCTCCCAAGGTGGGCAGCAGTTTGGTGCCAGACTCCCGTTCTTAATCCCTAACACCAGGCTGCCTTTTATTTCATCACTGAAAACATTTTGCAGCCCCATCCATCCACCCTAAAAAAGGATGCTAATGAGATGTTAAGGTCTGAAAGAAAGGGCAGAAATTCATTCATAAGTAGATCAAATGGTGGTTGAAGGACCTACTGTGTGTCGGCCACTGCTCTACCAAGAGTTATCAATAAAGGAGGAAGAAATGAAAGACAAAAATCCCAGCTTTATGGAACTTACAGTATATGGGGGGAGAAATAAGCAAAATATACAAAATCATTTATAAATTATATATGTTAGTAGATGATAAGGGCAATGGGGAAAAATAAAGCCTGCAAGGATGGGAGAGGGTCCCAGCAGGTGAGCCCAGAGCTGCAGTTCTCAATAGGATGGCCTGGGAAGACAACTTTTAGCCAAGAAACTGGATGAGGGACAGGAGCAGGCCAGGCAGATGTCCTGGTTGGAGACAGCAAGGTTCAGAGAGAGTAGCAAGAACAAAAGGGCATGAATCAAAGGGTCAACAAGACCCTTCCTCTTCTGCAGAGGACTTTGACTTCACTTTCTCAGCTTTCTACTTCTGTTTCCCTGGAGACCGGATAAAGGTGGAAAGTTAGCTATGTCAGTAGGCAATGCTGCTTATGGCCCCTGATTACTATTGATTGGCCAGCTGCATCTGGGCTGGGTAGGAAGTCATATCATTGGACTTCTGTGGTTGTGGTGACACTTGTAACTGAGCATGCTTCTTGACACACTGACGATCTATCTATTGAGTTACATGAGATATTGGCTTCTGCAGGTTACAAGGTGAGTAAGAACCTGCCTAAGGTGGGTCTCTTCCTTGGACCTGAAATGATACAAGGGAAGAGAGGCTCAGGGAGGCACTAACTCTTGGGCAGCAGTGTGGTCACTATGAGGAGTGCTGCCTTGCTGGCAAGCTGTGACCCCAATCTTATATGTTTCTAAGTGACTCTGGTGCCAATGGAGTTTATGATGATCTGAATGAGTCTGAATGTTAAGGTGAACCTAGAAAGCGCCCTGGTGATGTTACAGGCTGGAAGGAGGAGTAGCTCCAGCACGTTGAAGGGAAGGCCAGGAGGCCAGTGTGTAGAGCAGTGTGAGTGAGGAGAAGAGCCGTAGGAGATGAGGCCTGAGACACGAGGGGAGCCAGGCAAGCAGAACCCTGCAAGCCCCTGAAAGGTCTAGCTTTACACTGAGTGGGCTGGGAATTGTTTGGAGGATTTTGAACCGAGGATTGTCATGATCTGACTCACATTTTAGCAAGACCCCACTGGCTGTTAAGAATATGTTGGTGGGGGTGAGGTGGACGCAGGGGGATTATTTGGAAGGCCAGTGCAATAACCCAGTCAAGAGAGGAACTGGATTGTTTGGACTAGGGTGGAAGCAATTCTGGATATATTTGGAAGGAAAAACCACCAAAAGTTGCTGAAAAAATGAATGTCAAATATGAGAGAAAAAGAGAAATCAAGGACAACTCTAAGATTTTTAGGCCTGAGCATCTAGAAAAGTTTGGTTTTGAGCATGTTAAGTTTGAGATACATGTTAAGAACCCAAGTGGAGATATTAATCACTTAGAAGACACAGGAGTTAGGGTTAGTGAACAATGGTCGTTCTCAGGAGGAAGGGGGCGATGAGTCCAGGATCCTGGTGGAGGATCACCCTGGATTTGGGTGGCAGGGGACTTTGCACAAGAATGGGAACGATGGCCACACATGCATTTTAGTTGGAAGCCGGGCGGAAAGAGGAGAATTTAGGCTTCTGGTTTTTCTGTGATGTGGAAAGTAGCCTCTCTGCTGAGAGACTGTGAGGATGAGGGAGGTGGTGAAGTGGGGCCTCAGGCGCTGGGCAAAGATTTGGGAAGGCCAGTTTTGGAAATAGCAGAGGGAGATGACACAGCTCAGCAGAGGACTATAAATCCGCCTTTATTACTGTGCCACAGCTCACAGCACCGCGGCAGGATCTGCCTGGTGAGCACAAGGAATCGCATCTCTTGTTTACATCGTCCATGGCAGGATGGAGTGCGGAAAAGAGAAAGGACACACAAAATCCCTAAGAACCAATGGGTAGCTTGGGCAAAATGAATGAAATGAGAGTGTCCCTATGGAAAAAGTCTGTGATGGACCGCTTTTAGGAGATGTGGCTACAGTTCAGGAGAGGATTCCAGCATGACTTAAACCTCTTTTCCCATACAATGATCAGAATCACCTTCCTGCCACACAGCCCTCTGTGTCTCTCTATTGTCCAGAAGCCCGAGGAGCTCCCTGGGCTGCACTACCAGTTATCTCTGTGGTCAGGACCTCTCCCCAGATAGGTTACCTAACCTGGGCCCTTCACCCCTGGGCCTTTTTCATCTCTATAGCCTTTAAAAAGAAATCCAGTGTCAGTTGACTGGGTGCAGGAGGTGTAGCCCGGGATGCCAAGGTTCTGAAAAACGGAGGTACCTGGAAGAAATACTGCATCAGCACAGAACTGAAGGCTGCAGGAGTCAGAGCTCATCTGGGGTGGACTGTTTAATTCAACAAACATCTCTGAGCACCAGAGATCTGTCAGGCACCATGCATGGTGCTAGACACTGTAGGAGTCCAGGTCTTCCATTGATAATAGTCTAGTGACCCTAAAAATACACGAGCAATGCCTTCCAACCTAGGAGCCTGAGCCTTAATACAATGTTATCATCTCAGCCATTGGAAGTTACTTGGACTAGCAGGACAGATAATTGAGTGAAGTCTCAAAGAATGAGTATACAAAATCAAAATATATATTATATATTATATATATTTATAATATATGTATTTATTAATATATATTTAAAAGAGGAAGGGCAGGGGAAAAAATCAGTATTAACATAAGTTCTGGACCGATCACTTCACAAAGCCTTCATTGATTGGCAAAGCCCTCATTGATTGGCCCAGTAGCCAGGGGGCTCAGATGGCATTTTAGAGGGCGGAGTCAGAGGACTAAACGTCCTGCAGTGGATGGGACATTCCCACACAATAGAAGAATTGTTTTATC